CAGGGTGATGCGACAGCACGCGTTTGAGGAGAAGGGGGGAACTCTAAACCATCTTTCTCCTTTCCTCATCAATTTTTATCGACAGCGGAATTGTTTGACAGCGGCGGAGCTTGAACATTTTCCGCCATTGTCCATCGACCATCCCGGGAAGTATGTGCGGGAGAACGAGGTCGACACTGATGCGGAGGAGTCACCGACTTCTACCCCATCAAGACGGAGAGACGAAGGGAGACACACCCCTGCAGCGCGAGTGCCGCGGAAGCGGCGATGGAGGGAAGAGGCCGAAGAGGAGCAGCATCAAGAACTCTCTGCTCCCATTCGACCGCGGCCGCTGTGCGAGCCATACAGCCGGCCGAAGCAGAAGGCACGCAGACTGGTGTTGCCAGCTGACAGTGCAGACACGGCGACGATTGCGACGGAGATAGGAAGTGCGTCGCCAGAGAGACGAGAGGAAGCGCGGACGACCGCAGGAGCAGCGGGCCACGCTGCAACCTCGTCGGGAGAGAGGCCGCCTACGGGCCAAGGGCCTCCGGAGTTACCACGTGCGATGCGGACAGATGTTCCGTTTGCGCACAGGCAAACCTCCGCCGACGGACGAGCCTCCGCGGACCGGCGAACACAAGTGGACGTGGATCTACGCTTACGCGTGGGAAGGAGCAGTCCGCCTGTGCACAGGCGCTCGCCTGTGCACAGGTCACCTATGCACAGAACACCTCCGCACGTGCCGCCTGTGCACAGGCAAGAATCACCCCCGTTCCAACGTAGGAAGGGGAAGGAGCCGGCGGAAGAACCGCCTACGAGACACCGGCCCTCGGGGCCAGACCCACCGGCGCACCACGCGCCGCAATTCGCGCCTTCGGCGCCAGGGCCTTCGAGCCGAGGAGATACGAGCAGAGAGCGTGCGGAGGCCGCACCATCGGCGGGAAGTACGCCGATAGATGCGCCTTCGGCGGTAGGGCCTATAGGCCAAGGAACATCGGGCGTGCGGCCCCCGGCCATGTCGCCTTCGGCGATAGATGTCCGCGGCGCTACGCCTGCGACGGACAAGGCGCCGGCAAATGCGCCTGCGCACGGGCCGGGCACAGCCCCCACGGACCGATCGAGGGAGCAGCAGACGGTGGAGCGGAGTGACTGTCCGCGGGATGAAATCTCGATGCGCGATGCGCAATCCAACCCCGCGCAGCCACCCTCCGCTCGATCGCCTTCGGCGACGGACGACGGCGACAGAGAGAATGCGGTGGGCAATCAACCAGCGAGCGACGGGGATGCCGCTCGGATACATTCGCCTTCCGCCTTAGACATTTTGGCGACGAGCAGCGAGGCTGCAGCCGTGCCTTCGCAGGCAGCACACGTCGAGGACGTGCAGCCCCACTCGGGGCAGTCGCCGACGCAATCAATGGCGACTGAAATTCTCCACTCGGATGATGAGGACGGAGGCTCCACGGAAGAAATGTCAGGAGCAGAAGACACCGAGGAGGAGGAGGAGGAAATTGTTGGAGCGCCGGCGGCGGCGCTCTCTGAGCAGGTGATTCCGTTGCTGCGGTACTTGGATCGCAAGGTCGATAAATACGCCGACCCACTCCAGCCGGGATCTTACATCGAGTTAGTGCGCAGGCGGACTCGCACTAAAGTCCACACCAGCAAGCTATTAGCTAGAGTGGACCAGGAGTTGAGGGACTTGAAGGAGAAGCATGAGTGCTTGTGGGGACAGTACAAGCTTAATCAGAAATTCTACAAGCACTCCGAGAAGATGAAGGATGAGAAACTGGGCGAGCTCACCAAGGAGCAGGTGAAGGTCAAGGAAGCACTCAACTCTGAGCAGGCCGAGAATCGGATTTTGTCAGAGGAGCTCGTGCGACAGACGCGGTTGTTGGAACAATGTCAGCTCGCACGGCAGGCGGATGAAGAATTAATCCGCAGTCTGCAGTCAGAGTGTGGCGAATTGAGGGCGCAACGGGCTGAAGCCGAATCGCAATTAGTGACCATTGAAGAGGATCGCAGGAAGGAGGCGGATCGCACGAAGGTGGAGACGGCGAGGCGAGTCGCCCACTGTCTCAAGGGCTACGCCCACTGGGAAGTGAAGGCGCAGGAGAAACTCACACTGCGTGAGTTTGAATTGCGCGCAGCCGGGTTGTTGTCAGGCGACAGTAGGAGTCGGCGGAAGGTAGCGAAGAAGCTCGAGGCCTTTCTGTCGAAGGCACAGGATACCATGTCCGCCCTCGAGGGGGAGGTGACCGCGGCGTTGCAGCGGTTGGGACTGCGTAGTCGAGCGGACGAGTGGCAGGGTAGGGAGCTAGTGCGCGGCAGTCGGCCGCGCAGGAGACGTAGTACAGGTTCCGCGGAGTGTAGTGTAGCGTGGTTCCGTGCAGGCGTGTAGCGTAGTGCAGTGTAGTGCTAGTTAGGACTTAGAAGGTATAAAATAGTTCCAGGCGTTTTGCCTGGGGTTCTTTCCCATCAGAAGTGCAGATCAGGAACCCATTTCCTTTGCGTGTTTGTGTCCTTGAGTTCTGTCACCACGCACGAGGAGTTACAACTTAGCGTTCCGCATTTTGTAGCTGAAGGCCTTCGGCCGAATGTTCAGAGCTAGTACATTGGTTAGAGACTTGAGTAGTTCGGATCTGCACCTGCGGGTGACTGCCGATGCTCAGAGCCAGTGACTAGTTAGATACTTGAACAGTTTCGCCCCTACACCTTCGAGTGTTTCTTTCCGATTGTACTCCTTTGGGATTTTTCCCCTGAATGCCAAAGTGAAGTTTTGCTACTTCGTGTAAGCCTTGGTTGTAAATTCAGGTTACGCTGCAGCAGGTGCCTTGAGGGTAACCCCTGTAGTATTTCTGGGAATGACAAGTGCCTGAGAATTCAAACTCTTCAATAGACTGTTGTTGTGTTACTGGAACGTTTCACAGTGAGTCCTTCAGTGTGGACCTGTGTTCTCTGCGCGTTTTGTGAGTTGAGAGTGTTGTTCACCGCGTATGAGTGACTTCGATCCGAAGTAGGCAGTCCAAACCGGGTTTCCTACACTAGCAGCAAGCTAGTGGAAGCGTTGTAAAAGCCGGAGTTGGAAGTCACTGCCCGCAGCTTTGCCGAGTGTGCTCGTGAGAGACTTTCCCCCTGAAATCTTGAAGTAGAGGTCCTAACGGATCTCTGGGTTGTGTTTCGGTAGTTTCAGGTGTGTGTGTGTGTGTGTGTTACGCTGCACTGTGCGACCTCCGAGTGCGCTCCGAGTGGACACTTGCAGTATTTCTGGGAGTGACAGTTGCCTGAGAATTCAAACTCCTCAATAGTCTGTTAAAACGTGACACTTTGTACCCTGTGTGTTCCTCTGTCCCTGTGGGTTCGACCTTTCTACCACTATATTGCAGTTTTAGCCTTTAGTGGGTTATTACAATCGTCTTCAACTACCACTAGCTGCAACTCTACGTCCGCACGCTGCGCTCTCAATTCCCCGCACTCTAATTGCAGTTTGCTGATTAACTCTTCATGCGCCTGACGTGCGAGTTGACACTGCTCCAGCAACCGTGTCTGCCGCACGAGCTCCTCTGACAAAATTTGATTATGAGTCTGCTAAGAATCCAGCTCATCTACGAGCTGTGCATCTCCGCATAGCCGAAGGCGTCCACCGCCGAAGTCGTTTGTGCGGAAGGTGTTTGTGCGGATTGCACACGTGTTTCTCCCTTCTGATTGTCATTCCGCTCTTCCATTAGGTACTGCTCCTTCGATAGTTCTTGCTCCGAAGATGCCTCCGCCAAAGGCGCATTTGTCGGCGGCGCTTCCGCCAAAGGCGCAGCGCCGTGGGCGGCTCGCCTGAAAACCCTTGGCCCGAAGGCTCTTGAGCCGAAGGCGCACCTTCCGACGGACTTACCGCCAAGGGCACGTTCCTCGAAGGCTCCCTACTCGCAACTCCTTGTTCCGAAGGCCCTTGCGCCGAAGGCGGATCTTCCGCCGGCTCCTTTCCCTTCCTCCGCTGCGCCGAAGGCGCTCGAGCCGAAGGCCCCAACCCCGAAGGCGAGTCCGCGTAGGGTGCTCGTGCGAAACTCCTATCCGTTGCCGGCACATTCATCGGTGCCGCGTGTCGTTCCTCTTGATCCGAAGGCCGTCTTGCTTCCGCCGAAGGCGTCCGTGCCTTCGGCGTAGGGAGGTCCGCTGACTCCTCTGCTGTCAGTGTGTTCTCATCCTCGTCCGAGGCTCCTTCTCTCTGGCGGCACGTCCTGTCTCCGCGCTACTTGCAGGCAATACGAGCCTGCGTGCTTTCTGCTTCGGCCGACTGCAGAGCTCCTCTAGTAGCCGCTTCCGTTTGAGAGCAGCCGAATCTCGATGTTGGCCTTTCTCCGCTTCTCCCTTCCATCTCCGCTTCCTCGGCACTCGCGCTGCGAATGATTCCCTTCCCGCACTCTGTTAGGCTGGTGGCGTGGAGGCAGGAGTCTCTTCCTCGTCGGTGTTGACCTCGACATCCTTCACATACCTCCCGGGATTGCTGAGTGATAGCAGTGGAAATTGAACACGCTCGGTCGCGGTTAGGAAGTCCAAGTCAAGGCGTTATGAATTGAATAAGTTATGAGGGATTTCCCTAGCACCGAAGGCGGCTAGCGCCGAAGTCGGATTATGCGCCTTGCGCCGAAGGAGATCTTCTTCAGAATTGATCGTTCAGGTCGGGGCCCCTGTTCCAGACATTGCGCCCAACTCCTGGATTCTACGAGATCATACGAGACCCGCGATTATCCATCTTCACTCTATTTAAATGTACCGATTACCATTTACACCGCTGCTGCGGTGCTGTTTTCCAAAAAACACATTTTTGCACAAAAACAAAAAGTGAGTTACCACAGCGAACAACATTGATTTGATCGTAAGATATTTTTGTCTTTCAAACAAGCACGAAAACTTCTGGCTGCAGCCCTGGTGTAAGTTACTGCCTTGGAACATCCACAAACTGAACTCTCTAAGAAGACCCAATTGTGTATCTCACTAAATGATGAACTTGGGTGTGAATTTTTTTGCAGTGAATAATGGAGTTGGTACGAGGACGTTGGTCATAGTGGGCGTAGTATCTGGACTGTTGATATTGTTCATGATATGCCTAGTTGCATATTGCCTCTTGAGAATTTGCAGACGAACTCGAGAACTTCACCAAATACAGGAAGGTTAGTTCTCTCGTAATGTTTACGGCAATCACCAGGACTCATATAATGAATGCAATTCTACTTTGACCCTAAGCTTTGTAAGTAGAAGAAGCAAAAGAAGATTTCCATTGTTCTGATTCTGAGCGCAAACGATCTTCCTCTATGCAGCTCTAGAGAGAGAGCACGTAAAGCCACCGTTCTTCAGCTACGATGACCTCAAGACGGCTACAAGAAATTTCTCGCATGACAATGTACTGGGAAAAGGTGGATATGGGACTATATACAAGGTACGAATACGAGTCATGACCATAGAAGTGAGTCACAGTTGTGGCTGTGGAATGTGTTAGATACCCCCGTCTGCTGAAGCCCACGAGCCATCAAATTTTGGAACGCGGAGCTTCTGAAAACTACCGTTCAGAGTATTCGAATGGATGACATATCCACTGAGATTACTTATAAAAAATATGTAGGTGCTAAACTTACGGCTGTTAATGCATATGTTTGATAAACAGTCAGTACTTGAAGACGGAAGCATTGAGGCTGTAAAGAGACTTAATCCAACTGAGCAAAAAACAGCTGATTCTTCACAGAAATGGTGAATATTACGGGTATCAAACACAGAAATCCTATTCAATTTCTGGGATGTTGTGTAAGAGAGAAGCAGCAACGCATGCTAGTTTACGAGTTCGCGGAGAATAGGAGCCTTGCGGAGGCTTTGTGTGGTACGTCCCTTCACTTATCTGCCATTTCCTCACGGCATTTGCAGTTATTTAAAAGGGGTAAGAAATGCTTGTAGAACAGACCATCAGAATCAGGCCCAGGTCAAAAACAAAGATAAAATGGAGCCTTCGGCGTTTGTGTTTGTGGATCGTCTTCCATCTGTCTTTCTGGATTCCAAGTCTTAGGGTTGTGTGTTAGAAGTTGCATCGTTATTCAGAGTTTCCATTTATGAACTTTTTGGGTTGTTTTCTTACTACTGAGATGACCTGACGGATTGTAGATTGATGAGCGACATTCTAGCGAACTTTTTGTCATAGAATTTTGTTCGATACAAAGATGATAGTTTTTGACGTCCACTCCACTCCACACTCGATTTTAGGTCGGGAAAAAGTTTTCGTTTTGAGTTGGGAACAGCGGCTCCAAATATGCGTCGGAATAGCCCGTGGTCTTGCTTATTTACACGAGGAGTTGCAGCCAAAGATGATTCACAGGTCAGACAACTTAAGGACGCGATTGATTGTTGTATGCCAGCTTCCACGAGTTAAGATTGATTCTTATTGCGATACAGTGATCGTACAACAGATGGAGTAGATTTCGTCCAAAAAAGGTCATTCTTGAGGATCACACACCAACTTTGCAACTGTATTTAGCCGTAGGCATGATTCAGACCTCTAAGTAGCACTTGGGATTTATCACTCCACATCAACGTGTACTGACGCCTCCAATTCGCACCACAGAGATATCAAACCTCAGAATATTCTTCTGGGCAAGGACTATAATGCAAAGATTGCCGATTTTGGATTAGTCAGACCCGCTCACACAGACGCCACTCAAGTCACGCTTATCGTCCTTGGAACAAAGTCAGATATGAGGATGAAGTTGGTTCATTGTTACACTAGAGGAAATTTCTCCTTTTTCTAGTTTTGATTTGGGCACAGTGAAACAAGCCTCTGACAGATTGGTTCTGTTGCTGAAAATTGCAGGGGCCACCTTTCGCCGGAGTATGCAACAGAGGGCGTGGTATCGGAGAAACTGGATGTTTATAGCTTCGGCATTGCTCTGTTGGAGATTGTTTCCGGGAGGCTTTGGTTCAGTGATAAGACGCCTGCTGAACGAAATTATCTTCGAGACTGGGTGAGTTATGATCATTTATATTCTAGCTGCCTTTACTCTTCATATTTCGCATTATGTTGCACAGTTGATCATTGTTTCTTCTAGATGTACCGCCCCCCTGATGATGGTTCCATTCACTTCACTAGATTTCCCTTACATTGGTATAATTCCAAAATATAGGAAACCCTCGTGTGGGCTATGACTACAGACTTAGAGTTGTCACTCTTATTCTCTAGATAGATCCGGAGTAGAAACCAATCTTGCACTCAAAGTGTGGTAATTAATTTTATGATAAAGTCACTCGCTATGTGTACTGTTAACTTTGTTTCCGCAACAAACATCTCAAACTTGTTACCTGGAGTAAAAACGTGGGATTTGACTGCCAAGGTTGACCTGAACCCTGTGGTACATTAGAGGTGACGTATGTCGACAATAATAACTAATGTCACTCTTTATGACAAGAAAATAAAGATAGAAACTCAGTATGGATATAATAATTAGATTACCTGTTTTGTGAATTTGATGAATGAACCTCTGTGGTAACACACTTTTTGTTTTTTTGCAGAATTTAAACAATTTTAGAAAACAAGTACCGAAGCAGTGTCTGTAGTTAGAAAAGGGTACGTTAAATAGAGTGGATTGAGGAGATCGTCACGAGGTCACGAAGAATCGCGAAGTCGGATGTACCAGCGCCAAATGTCTTCGGCGCCTTCGGCAAAAGCTCCTTTTCTGAGGTGTCTCTACTCACGCGCTTCCAGCGTTTAAGGAAGCTACGCTTCCGGCGCAGACACCTCCGAAGGAGATTTTGCTAAAGACGTCAGAAGAACGGCACGGACCTCTGAAGGCTTCCGACCATGAGTGCGCCTTCGGCGATGCGCGCTAGCGCGGAAAGGGAAACCTTCATAACAATCGGAATACACGGTAGTTCCAGTTGGTTGAAGTTGCATTGGAAAGAGCTCGGGACGCTCGTCCTAACGAGCCCAAGAGCGTTGGAGATGGATCAGGGACAAAGAAGTTATGAGCATCGGAAAACTCGTAGCTGGACATGCGCCGTTCGCGCTAGGGTTCACAGTCGGAACGGACTCCCGTACGCCTTCGGCGATGCGCCTTCGGCGGAATCACGCGCTCATGGGAGGAAATCAACTCAGAGGCGGAAGCGCCTTTGGCGGCTGCGCAACGGAAGAAAAGCGCCGGCCGGATGTACGCCTCCGACGTGGCGCGGATAGGCGGATGCGCTGGCATGATTTGCGCCGGCGGATATCCGCCGTCAGCAATAGACGGGGCAGAACGGACAAACCAAGAGGTACGAATACGCGCCGGCGTAATTCGCGCCGACTTGATGTGCGCCTCCAGCGAGGCGCCGACGGAGAAGGAATACGCCAACATAGCCGACGCATACACTGCGGCGAACTCGAGTCCGGAAGACGGTGGCGGCGGGAGAATTCAACATTCACGCATGCGAATGCGCGCAGTGTGGAGACGTGAATTCGAGCATGCGAGGGCGAACCGTTAGGCCGTGTAGCCGGCTGCGTAATTGTAATCAGTAAGAACGTTGGACGATCTTGAATTCGGAGAAGAAAAGACTGCTCTCCAGTCTCATTCTCTCATTCTTGATTTTGCGATTTCCAGTTTCCAAGATTACGCGCAAGGGCGGAGAGACCTGCAGTGAGAGGAGAGAGTGCAGAGACGAGTTGCGCAAGGATCTTGACAAACCTTGGAGAGAATATGCGAGTAGCGAACTTGAGCGCGAGAGAAGAGAGAGTGACTGCAGTCAGTGCTTGAGCGGTCGACGCGCAGCGGCGATTGTGAGAGAGCGAGCGGAGGGGAGAACGTCTGTGTGTGCAGGAAACGCAATGTCGAAGGTCCCCCAGCTGCGAGTGTCTCCACTCAGAGTGTCGCAGATCGGTCTGCGCGCATTCCGAGATGTGTTGACAGGGTTGAAGCTCGATTTCCTCCTATGGGGATGGAATTGGACATGTCCGGAGATGGTGCGCGAATATCTGCAGGAGAGACACAAGCCCTCGCGCGGATTCCGCCCACATCCAGAGAGGTGGGACATTTGTGACTGGGCGCAGGTGTTGGGCAGGTGTGCCGGCGAGGAAGGGTATCTCCTCTTCGAGGCCGATAGCGTGAAGGTGTCCAAGGAGGAAGAAATCTCCTACAATGAGCTTTTCAAAGTTGCCAGGCATCCCAAGAACGGTTTCCGGACACGGGATTACAAAGATCGATTGCGGAGAAATGTCGCGACTGCATTGCTGCAGATATTGCAGCCGACCAAGATCGCTTACATGCATGGTTGGCAAGTAGGATTTGTGGAGCTAGTGTTGTCAGGAGCTCCAGTTCATTGGGCACGGCTCCTGTGGAAGGTAACGCGCCAACATGCGCAAGAAGAGAGAGGAGGAACCCTCAATCATCTTTCGCCTTACCTGATTGTGTTTTATCGGGCTATGGGATGTTTGACAAATTCGGAGCGGACACGGTTCCCACTGCTGACCCGGAGCTATCCAGGAAGATACTCGCGGGAGGCCGAAGTAGACACGGATCCGGACGAGGCACCTGCCAGTCCACCTCCGGCTCCGCCTCCAGCAAGAGCAGCAGAAGAACGTCGAAGTGAGCGCGCTCCGCGAAAGCGGAAATGGGATGAGAGACTTGAGGACAGGCAGCCGGAAGTGCCAGCTGCGCCGACTCGTAGTCGGCCAACCAACGAGCTTCACAGCCGACCAAAACAGAGGGCACGCAAAGTGCCAACTAGTACTGAGGAGACCGGGCGTACTCCGATCCGGCGGAGTATCATGCCCACGCAGGAGGAGATAATCGCGCAGGTTCTGGGGAAGTCGGCAAATACCTCTGCGCAGAAGGCACCAATGCCTTCGGAAGAAGACAGACGGACTGACAGTCGGCCGACTACGAGTCGTTCGACAAACGAAAGGAAGGCCGACTGAGCGGCGCGTTGAACCGGACAGCAGGCCGGAAGCAGAAGGGAGTTTGGCTGACGAGCCAACAACCCTCAGAGGGTCGTCTTCGGCGGAAGGCACTTCTGGGAAAACGCCGCCAGCAAGCAGGCCAAGTGGAGTGAAGACGCGCAGGGTAGATCCGACTGCCAGTTAGACACCTGCTAGTCGGCCGACTGCGAGTCGGTCAACAGAGAGTCGGCCGGATTCGCCGACTGCGAGACGGACAGGGCCGGCGACCATTGTGCGGACGCCTTCGGCGAACGCACCTCCAGCGAAGACACCTTCCGCGAAGATCGCGCCGGAAGGGCAGGCAGCAGAAGCGGGCGGTGCAAAGGTGACAAAAGTCACTGCGGCGTCCACCCCTTCGGAAACCGAAGATCGAGCCGGAACAGGGGCTCAAGCAGTGGGATCCCCCACTGCCTTGGATATTTTAGCAGGGAGTGGAGCGGCAGTCGCGGCGGAAGCTACTGCGCGCCACAGTTCCAGGGAGTCGCCAAGGGATTCGGTGGCGACTGAAATCCTCGAAACGGAGGATGAGACGAGTTCGGAAGAGCAGGAAGCGGACTCTGTGCAGAAAACGCCAACAGGGGTGATGTGCGAGCAGATAGTTCCACTATTGCGATATCTGGATCGCAAGACATCAAAGTACTCGGGTACCGGAAAACCGCAGTCTTACGTGGAGACTGTCAAACGCAGGACGAGGAGCAAGGTGGCCACTTGGGCCTCTAGGTGCCAAACATTGCAGGATAAGAACACTACCCTCCGACAGCACCTGGCGGTCACGCAGAAGCTATACCAAACCCTGCAACAACAGAGGGAGGATGCGGCGGAGAAAAACCAGGCGGATGCCGAGCTAATGCGCGCAAAGATCGAGTCGGAATTGCAGGAAGAGCGGAGACAAAACCGCATCTTAGCAGAAGAGCTTGCGCGCCAGAAGCGCGCCTTAGAAGAAAGTCAAAGTACACGCACGGAGGATGAGGAATTGTTGCGCAACTTGCAATCCGAGTGCACGGATTTGAGGGCGCAGCGCGTAGATGCGGAAATGCAGCTAGTAGAGGTGGAAGGCAGCTGCCGGACGCGAGAAGAGTTGGCGACGCGGGTGACTCACTGTCTAAAAAGATACGCCCATTGGGAGGTGGCAGCTCAAGAGAAGATCACACTCAGGGAGTTTGAGCTTCGGGCGGCGGCATTGACGGAGGGTGACAGTCGGAGTTGGCGGCGAGTAGCAAGGAAATTAGAAGCCTTCTTGTCGGGCGCGCGCGACACTATGGCGCACTTGGAGTCGGAAGTGACTGCAGCCCTCCGGCGTCTGGGGTTGCGCAGCCGGTCGGAAGATTGGCAAGGTAGAGATAGAGAGCGAGGCAGTCCGGCGCGCAGGAGGCGCAGCACCGGATCTGCAGAGTGCAGTAGCGTAGTTTGGTTTCGTGCAGGTGTTGTGAGTAGTAGATAGGATAGCGTAGTGTTAGTTAGGACCTTTGAGGGTATAAAGTAGATCAAGGTGTTTTGCCTTGGGACTCTTCCAGTTGCGGAAGTGCAGATCAGGAACTCACTTTCTTGGCGTGTTTGTGCATTTTGGTCCTCGCACCACGTAGAGAAGCTGCAGCATAGCGAAGTTACCGTATGTTGTAGTTGAAGGCCTTCGGCTGAATGTTCAGAGCTAGCACCCGGTTAGAGACTTGAGTAGTGCGGATCTGCACCTGCGGGTGATTTCTGATGCTCAGAGCCGGCTGCGAGTTAGAGACTTGAACAGTTCCCCCTTACTCCTTCGAGTGACATATCCTGATTGTACTCCTACGGGAAGTTTCCCCTGAATGCCAAAGTGAAGTTTTATTACTTCGTGTAAGCCTTGGTTTGCAATTCAGGTTGTGTGTGTGTGTTACTGGATTGTGTCTCAGTTAAGTCCTCAGTCGGGCTTGTACCCCCTGCGGTTGGTGTGAGTCGACGGTGACGTCCACGGCGTATGAAGGGGCTTCGTTCCGAAGTGGGAAGTCCAGTCCGGGTTCCCTACGCTAGTTCCTGGCGGAAGGGCAGTAAAAGCCGGAGTGGGAGTCACTACCTGCAGAACCTCTGAGTGAACTTTTGAGACACTTTCCCCCTGAAATCCGAAGCGGAGGTCCTGACTGACCTCCGAGTTGTGCTTTTGCCAGTTTCAGGTGTGTGTGTGTGTGTTGAGTGACTACGCTGTACTGTGCATCCTCCGAGCATCCTCCGAGTCGAGTATCCTCCTCCGAGTCGAGCACTGCAGTATTTCTGGGAGTGACAGTCGCCTGAGAATTCAAACTCTACAAAAGTCTGTTAAACGTGACACTTTTACTCTGTGTGTTGCCTCTGTCTCTGTGGGTTCGATCTTTTTACCACCATACTGCAGTTTTAGCCTTTGGTGGGTTATTACAACCTCCATAAAGCATTTCTAACTCCTCATACATGCTAGCATACATTGAATATGGCAAGGTATAGGTAGAACCTATTTATATTACTACAGAAGTGGAATTCTCTTACTTGTGTTTGACAGCTTTGTTTGTGGAGAACATACCAATTTTACAAACTTAGTCATGGCCTGTATGAGGTTAATCTACTAAAGATGCAGGCAAACTTATTATTTGATACATCGTGTTCTTTATCTTGTAAATGTGGGTTGTGCAGGCTTTGGCCCTGTACGAGGACGGAAAGTTGCTGGATCTGGTCGATGAAGACCTCATGGGGGCATGTAACCAAGAGGAGGTTCGGCTTGTCCTGAAGACGGCGCTGTCTTGCTGTCAAGCGTATCCCAAGAACTGTCCCAGCATGTCTCAAGCGATGAACTTGTTTATGAAACATGAGGACTTAGCTTTCGAAATCGTCAAAGAGCTCAGGGGCAACGGCACAGGCTTAGGGGGTATATCGGAAGATCATGAAGAGCCTCGAATCAGTAGTGAAAGTGAGGAGCGTAGCTTTGTATCTAGGAGCGAATCCAGATCACATTTATCGGAGCTCACAGAAATGCGTCCTAGGCAATTCGAATTAACCACAACCATGAAGTAGGCTTCTTGCATTCATGAATGACCAGGTCGAGACCTGGTCCTGACTGTAAATAGAGGCAGCGACTTATTGTCAAATTTGAGTCCAGAGCTTCGGTTTGTACCGATTTGGAGAAACAAAGTTGTAGATGCAATATGTACATGCGATATAGAAGATAATCTTGCAGACAGAGGGTCGTTCCCATGCCACATGTTTCCTTTTTCAACAAACTATTTGATCCGAGCGTTCTGAAAGTACTACGCATGCTAATACCGAAGGTATCTAATCCATTTTCCGTGGAACAAGAAACTATCTACCTATCATTACCTTTCATTATCAAATGTAATTAAATTTGACTGTGAAAGGCACTCACGTGTGTTGGCTTGCTTATACAATGTGGAAAATAATGCCAAGTTGCTTGCTTTTCAGGTACCCCTTTTCAAGCTTGAGGCTGTAGGAAGGCAGTGGTATTACAACATCATCCATACCGAAAGTGAGAGAACCACTGATAATGTGGTTCTCTCACTGTGGTAACTTAGTGGTTATAATGAGACACCTTATTATGACGAAAATGTTGAGAAAAAACAGCAATTCTCTTTCCGACAGCTATGAGATAATGGGTTTTAATTTAGCTCCAAGTAAGCTTACGATCTCTGACTGTTTGAACAAGATCAATAGAAATAAAGCAAGAGAAAAGCAAAGCCCGAGAGAAGAATGCCAATCATGATAAGGCACTGGTGCTTACCTTTAACAATTTTGTTTGATATCGAATTGTTAACAATGCTAAGTTTCAATTCAACAAGTGTAATTCATTTGATCAAAGGTCAGTAGACCGAAAAGGAAATTTTCAATTCTGGAGGCAGATCAATCTGCCATATGAAACTGAAGTTGAAGACTTGGAGCACATAGACCTTTATGCGACTATTGCAGTGTCATCCCAACAACTTGGCTTTACTACAATAACAATCCACATATAACCCTGTTCATTCCTTGACATTGTAACTTGGCTTTATGTAAAGATCATTGCGATTTGCTGAAATAACCAACCTAGAAACCCTTTTAAATATCTCACAATTTGATTGCGAAGTCTGCTAAAATTTTAATGAGAAAGTGTCCTGTTGTGTTTTTTCTCTAGTCTCATAATAATCTTAATAATTGAAGTATATATAGTGAAGTAAGTATATATATATATGAATAGCATAACATTCATCTAAAAACTGCATTCTAGTCAAAAAACATCACCCACGTGTAAGATAATTTGTATAATATTTTGTCATGTACATTTTACCTATAAGAAGTGATATTAATTTAAGCTTCCAAAACTTACATATGTAATCATTCTATAATTATTTTTTTACTTGTTTATTTTATTTCTCATTTCGATTTTGTTACAAATCTGAACTGTTATGTTATGAAAAAAACTTTTTCGGATAAATAGTTGTATTCAAATTATCATTTCAATTCTTTGATGAAAAATAAGTTCTTAAACAAGAGACATAATTTACCTTCTTCATTACTACACATGTCAATAGCTCGGAAATGGCTTGACGATTTCAGCACACGAAGACCCGACGGGGCCAAAGGGCACGAGACTTTCCGTGAGAGGTGCTGCGCACTTTGGGCCAAAGAGTTTGGGTCGAAGGTGCTTCCGGGGTGACAATCACCATGTTTTGAACATTATTCAATACGTACTTGCATACATGACATTTAACAATTTTCAAAATTTGTAAATATCAGCTTGAACAAATAGCTTTGTCTTCTTTTACTTCACACGTGATTATGACATATATAATTATACAATGAGTTTGGAACTTGTAATTCAAGTCACATCTTTCTGTATCGAGAAAATTCAAACACGATAACCATTGTCTATGTTTGTTAATATTTACGAAATTAACATCGGACTTTTAAATTACTCAATGTATCACAATGTACTTAGAGATCCAAATATTCTTAACGATTGATCGATAATTGTAGATTTAATTAAATCAGATGAGTTCAATTCTGTGTAGAAAACAGAATTCCATTGTATTGCACTGTTGAGTCAAGAATTTTTTGTCAGTAGAATTAGAATTGATGAAATTTCATTAAAAGATTATTAAATATAACACATTACTAGTGTTACTTTCCAAATCTTTACAATTAAGTCAACGAGAGTTAGCAAATTTTTTCCCAACTGATATATGTCCTAATCTCATCCACAGACTTTGTCTCGATAACAGTCTAATGTATCTATTTACCATTTAATAAAAATTATCTAGTGCTTAGAACACCTAATGATAAGTACGTGATTTTAGTATAGATCCAAAATCAGAATCATAATTCAGGGTTGGATATTTTTTTGCAAAGCTTTACAGTCTTTTGAAATCATGTAACATAGATTTGACTTTACTTCATGGATCCCAAGAAGACTTCAGGCAATGTCAATTCGTGTTCCACGCTGATTCGTGCAAGAAAATCAAATTATGAACCGCAACTATAAACCAACCTGAGCACGAAAAAATCATCGATTTTGACAAGGTGTCTACATCGGAGAGAGTCATCGGGGTTTGTCTTGGAAAATAAGTCTCTCGTTACATGAGATTGTACAAGCTCACGAGAATTTTCAGGTGAAAGGTTGCCACCGCTTGAGATTCACCAGGTAAGTTCGAAGAACCATGATTTTGATCGCGAGAACCACATAGGAACGCAGGCCGGAGATTTGCAGCAAATTGATTCACCTCAATATGTAATGGAGATTGGACCCATGTCAGTGCAGAACACGAAGGAATCCAAATGGTCCTGCCAATATCCTGCCCTCCAAAATATTGGAAATCTTTGGAAGTAGTTTAGCCCACTCTAAGCTGAAACCCGGCTATGTATCTAATGTCGGAAATATTGTCGCTTCGGAAGTGTTTTTTGATAAATTTTGCAATTCATGGATAGTATCCCTGAAGAATTATGAGGTCTGAGCCTTAAGCAAATCCTGACAGGAATACCGACCGAATCCAAATTCTTCACCTCATGCAGTTATTCCGAATTTGGAGATGGTGAGCTGCTGTCTCGGTTACATTGGATATTCTACTCTTCTTCCAGAATCAGGAAATCACTGATTAGTGTGATATAACCACAGAGCCGCTTCTCTCCGAGAGATAGCGTGGACGTGAAGAACCTCAGTAATCACATACCTCTGTATATTCTATATGGCGAAAAGTCACCACAACGTCAGGTGATTTCAGAACCCTTAGATGCCGAAAATTGAAAGGCAAAGTGTCTGTCTTAAAACATTGACAAAGTATTACCGCATACGTGGTCCGGCTGAAGCCCAGAAATTGGTGACTTGTTCCTGCTTTGGTGCACACTCAAACTCAGCATAAGTATACTCTACTCATGATCATTCTCATGATCATTCTCATGATCATTCTAAAAGAGCTTTGGACCTGACCTCGAACTCCAGAAGATAGTCGCTGCAAAATTTTATTAGGACAAAAAGAGGACATGCGCCTGTTGAAGTCCAGGCGCATGCTAAGTCCATGTTTATTTTTGAATTTCTTTATAAATAAAGAAATTCCATGCTGTTGCGGGCTTCATTGAAATCCATGCCCAGATACACAATCCACTGGATCACCTCTAGCATCTCCTTGTAGCTTGTGGCTAGATAACCTGTCGGTGGCACAACTCTGGCCTGACATCCCCACTCTGATGGAGATAGGCACAAACGGAAACATGGCCTCTGTCAGTGCCACTGTCTCCTGCCGCAATGCAAAAGCTGCCCCTGAACGGGCGCTCCTTGAGCTGGCACTGGATCGCAGTTCCTTTGTTGAGGAAGCCACTGCAAACGTCTAGAAATCCGTCTGTCTGGACGCTGATGAGCTCTTCGCTGTCCACAAACAAACTCTGCAAGAAGGCAATGACAGCGTCTATATCCACACCTTTGGCCAGCCGACCGTCCTCATCGGTGAACTTCACTGCAAAACCACCGTTCTTGACGACCAGCGACAGATTTTGGTCCCGCCTCGCACTCAGATACTGAGTGATTGACTTCAGCTGACCCGAGAAATCTGGCGCCTGCGAAATGTAAAATGTTAACATGATTCTATATAAGACTTTGTAAATCATAGAGCTAGAGCAGAGCTAACAAAAAAAGTGTCTCTTGAGTTCTAGATTGCACTCAAACTTAATAACATAGTCAATGTTGAGAATCATAGCAACTTATGTTCTTTTGTTTAATTCTACAGGACAGGTCCATGTTCTTAACATGTGACTTCATACGATATGTAATTTCAAAATATTGTGTTGGTATATATGATACTTATTAGTACATAACAAAGTAAAATCTACAAACTGCAACTCAGAACGCACAAACTACTTCAACTCGTACAAACCGTACATTTTACTTGGTTTGAGCAAGGTTTAGTAACATCCCTAAGAAACTCAACAATCACAAACTACAGCTACTCCAAAAGTAACTTTGGTTGGACTAAGGATGACTATAATCACGGAGTTTCGAATACCTCTCCTCCATATTGTGTACCTACCACCTTAATTGTCCTTGATTAGGAATTCGATTCAGCTCAAACATATATACCAATGCTCTAAATTTCCAGTGAATCTAGAACCAGACACCAAACTTCGTGCAGAGTTTGGTTCTGGACAGCGAAGAGCTCATCAGCGTCCAGACGGACGGATTTCTAGACGTTTGCAGTGATTTCCTCAACAAAGGAACTGCGATCCAGTGCCAGCTCAAGGAGCGCCCGTTCAGGGGCAGCTTTTGCATTGCGGCAGAAGACAGTGGCACTGACGAGTCCATGTTTCCGTTTGTGCCTATCTCCATCAGAGTGGGGATGTCAGGTCAGAGTTGTGCCACCGATAGGTCATCTAGCCACAAGGAGAAGCTAGAGGTGATCCAGTGGATTGTGTATCTGCGCATGGACTTCAATGAAGCCCGCAACAGCAATGAATTTCTTTATTTATAAGGAGATTCATGAATAAACACGGGACTTTGCATGCGCCTGGACTTCAACAGGCACATGTCCCCTTCCTGT